AGGAATCAAAAAAATTTGACCTCGTATCACAATAGGCTAACCAACGAATTTAGAAATATTAAATAAAATTTTATTTTTAAAATCATATTGCTGTACTACTATTATTTGTATAAAAAGAGTGTGTTTTCAATTCGAATTTTACGTATTTAATTCGCAAAAATCTAATCAGTGATTATGAGCGATAATCAGTGTTCTAAATTTTCTGATGATGATTTAAAAGAGCAATATTACATTGTTAAACTAAAAAAACGGTTTATAACATGGGAAAAACTCCAGCATTCATCCAAAATGCATTTAATAATCACCACCGTTATATGTTTATTGTCGCTTATAATTGGTATCTTCCTTTTAATCTCTGAAGCAAATGGTGCGGGGTCAAATGTTAGAGACTTCATTTCAACTTCTATTTTTGGAACAGGAAGTATTACGACTCTTGTGGGAAGCCTTTTATCTCTTAAAAATTTAATTTTTAAGAGCAGATTAGAAATATTGGATGAATTACATACTAAAGAAAATAATTTACATATTTGTAGAAATAGACATCATTGGTCAAATATTGAAAATCATGAGAAAATAAAAAACAGGATTTTTGTTGATATCGTACCAAGAATCTATAAGAAAATAGAAGATAAAAAAGATCTTAAATTAATACAATCTGAAATGCTCCATTTCAAAATATGGATGATACAAAACAAAATAAAAGTTGTGGATGAAATCATACAAAAAATAAATAAAAGCCATATTAATTTAAAGAACGAGAAATTTGAAGATGAAAAAGCGCATGAAATAGATGAAATAAAATGTTTGAAAAAAAAAGTTTATAAAGAAATTAATGCATTAGAGAATAAAGAATCGAAGAAGGAATTTAGGAGGGAGTTTATAGAGGAATTGAGGGGGTGGATAGAATTGATGAAATGGATAGAAGATAGCCCAAAGGATGCAATGGATGATGAATTGGAAAATAAAAATAGTACAAAAGATCAAAATACAAATAAAAGTGATGCAACAGACGATGAAACGACAAATAAAAATAGTTCAAAGGATCAAAATACAAATAAAATTAATGCAACGGACGATGAAAAGATAAATAAATATAGTCAAAATGAACAAAATACTAATGAAGAGATAAATAAAAATAGCCAAAATGAACAAAATTCAAATGAAGTGATAAATAAAAATGGTCAAAATGAACAAAATACAAATAAAAATGATGCAACGGACGATAAAATGATAGATAAGTTGTTAAAGGAATGGGTGAAATTGACGAGTGAATCAGATAATAATCTAATAAAACAAAATGCAACAGAAAGTAAGTTGACAGTAAGAAAAATAAAAAGACTTAAAAAAGTAATGAATTCCAAAAAAAGGACATTATTTGAAAATGACGAAAAAATTTTTCGAAAACAATTATATTTTATCAAAAAACTAGTCGAATATACACGGTTTATTTTGATTCTTCGGGTTTTATGGGTGGCTATATTTTCTTGTGTTTTTATTGTACTATCAGCAATTGCTATTCTTACTTTGATTAACGGAGCAGATCAAACTCTATTTCTAACTTTAGATATCGTTCTCATAACTATTTCTTCATTCTGTCTATTCAGTACAATGTACATTATCATTTTAAATAAGATAATCATCCCTATGATAATAGGTGATGATGGAGATGATTATATTTTCGAAAATAAAATTTTATTTAATATTTCTAAATTCGTTGGTTAGCCTATTGTGATACGAGGTCAAATTTTTTTGATTCCT